TTAACAGTCTTGCGATTTCTGCGGGGCGTTTTGGCCACATTTTACGACGAATGCCTTAAAGCGAGGTGCGAGTGTATTTTTATTGAATCCCAGGGGCTCTCTGCTGGATTTCTGGTCAAGGGGGCTTACTGAGCCTGCGCGGTTCCCGCTGAACGGAAGTTAAAAAAAAACACTTACCCATGAATTGTTGGTCCGCTGATGTGCTACACACTCACCAGTGTGACTCACTTGGAAATGACCCCCAGGATTTGTGAGAGTCATGGGTAATATATGTGATTGATTTCTCTATAACAAACAGACACCTGGCATCACCTGACATATTTCTTTTATCGGTTCAATTACATTAGCTGATGGTTTCTTTACACAATTTACATATATTGCTTTTACTATTTCAACAGAAATAATATTGTATGATTTATCGAAAAAATCAACCATTATAACGAACAAAACAGGTGCGCTGTACACGTTATTTTATCTCATTGGTAATGTACTATAGGTAACATACATCGTCATTATCTGGGGAAAACTTATGCACCGACAACGTTAAATTACTCCTGACTAACAGCACGATATGCCCAGATGAAAGAGCTCCCCAAATACAGAAAAATGCATTTTATATTTTTTTTATATCACTTTTCATTCGCTAGCTATTCGTCTTTTTATCAGTATATGTAGTACGCCATCTTGATTCTTCAAGGATTATGTGTAAAGTACAACTACTATTTTCAGTTCTGTTGCCATGACAACCAGTTTATCACATGTATGTATGCTACCATTTTCAAAACTTTTTTAATTAAAACTAACACTACTTTTGTAGACGATAGAAAACCATGTGCGCCCAAGTAAAAGACTATCCGTTTTTAGTTTGCTCAAAATTATGATAATTATCCACAAGAACAAGAATAATTCACAAGAACGGAGGCTGGGGTTAGTGAACAGATCTCGCCGCATCATGCAAAATTTCGTGCCGCCGCCTCTGTTTTAACTGCACATGTTCTTTTATGCAGCAGCACATTATGTCTACCTTTCTCAATTTTAA